TCTCGAGAATGACCTCGTAAAACAATCTGAGGGGATCAAGTGAATGTGGTACATCGGTAGCGAGGGTAAAAAGCACATACCGTGATCTCTGCGTTTTTGACGGTTTTCATCTCTTCACAGTTCGATGACTCCTGCAATCTGTCGACTAACACGCGGCACAAAGAAAATCCCTGAAATTTGCTCTGATAAGGAAAAATCAACGCTTTTCGATTAAGATCACACGTTACGACACCTAGTAAGTGTTCATTCCACAACTACTCCAGAACTCCATAGATAAGAGCGGCCTCGGCTGGATTAAATAATACTTAATAGTATCCTATTCTGAACCGTTTGTATAATAAGAAAAACCCTCTGCGTACAGCGCCACTTCCGGCTGGCGGGCGGTTCGGACGGCTAGGAAGAGAGGCTGTGAGCGCGTGCTCTAATGCCAATATGTTTGTTTTATAAGGTTCATATAGAAATGAATAGAAATAACAATGTAACAAAAAAATAATTAATAATAAATAAGATAACCCTTTGCGTACAGCGCCATTCCGGCTGGCGGACGGTTGGGACGGCTACGACGAGAGGCTGTGGGCGCGCGCTCTAATGCCAATATGTTAGCTTTATAAAGGAGTTCATTTTTTTTTCGTGATCAGATAGAATTTCTTTGCTATTAAATGGCCAAATATCATAGAACAAACCTTAATAAGATCATTTTCATCAGGAATAACGTAAAACTACCCTATTTATCATAAACAACTTCAATGGGAAAAACCAAGTGCGTGTGAAAAGGCTTTATTTAGAACCTTTATCAAACATTTCTATGATATTTTCTTTATACCTACCCACAATTCTTGTTGGAAATACTTTTACAGAAGTCCTTTCGATGATAATTCAATTATTTTTGGCAAAAAAAAAACACTTATAAGAATAAAAATCTAACTAGGTAATCCTAAAAAACCGCTTGAATTAGAGAAATTATATTGTGATTACAAGACGTCATCTTTTATTTATTATTAGATCGTACTACGAAATTCTTTTCAAGCAACAAGTTGAGTATTGGAATCAGAATTTTTCAAGCTATCGACTGAGTACAAAAACATCAAGAAAACAGGAGAAAACGATCGATAACAGCTGGGGAATATAATCCTTTTAGCAAGTAGATGGCTTTGACCTTTGAAAAAGGGAAGATTTTGAGAAGCATTAGCATTAATATTGCTAAAATCACTCATACAAAGGCATCATCAGCGATATTTCAGCATCTTTTGAGATAATGTACCCTTGAGAACTCAAACAACTCAAATTTGTATTAGAGCACGCATCACTCTTCATAGCCGTCCGAACAGCGCGCCCAGCCGAAAGTCATATTAACCCTAATTGTCCGCAAAAGGTTAATAAACAATAGTATTGACAAAATAAGACAAAGAAATAATAATATTGAAATAACAATCGGATCTAATTAAACTAAATAACAATTAATCAAATTGCAGATCAAATAATATTTCTTTTGTTTTAACCCGCTTATAGCGATGGTTTGATGTTATAAATATATACCCATTGATCTGGAGCGATCTCGACATTAAACACAGTCGCGCTGACAGATATTGGGTATTATAGATCAAATATTATTCTTTCTATTATTATATAATATATTATATTATTTTATATTATATATTTTTATTATTCTTTTTATTATGTTTATGTCGAGACCAACTACCCGGGCCAGGCCGTTGAGGTTGGCGGCTGACAGATAGGTGCGCTGTAGCGTAGAAAGAGCGATGTGCAATATGGGCGTCAGTAGTGTAACGGATAGAGCACGTGCTCCCGGAAAGAGTGAGGTGCGGGTCCTAGTCCCGCTTGACGCGAAAGTTTTGCACTCGCTCTACATCAATGGGTATATAATTAAATTGTATTGATTAATATGGTAATGATAATAATAAATAAATAATGATAAATAATAAAAATGATAATAATAAATAAATATATAATGATAAATAATAAATAATGATAATAATATATAATGATAAAAATGGATAATAATTGAACTTAATTAATTGAACTAAATTATATCAAATAATAATATAATGAAACCAAGACAATGATAAAATGATAACATGATAGCACGTTTACTTCACAGTAGTTCTGATAAAGATTAACCTCGAAAAGATTTTAAGCATTCTCGCGGATTCAGTTGAATGTTTGGAGGAGGGTTTGAAAACAGTCGACGAGATGGGTTTCTACATATTCACTACCAGCCGTAATCTGTCGGCTGAGAAAAAATTGTAATAACCCGCTAGGGACCACAGGTGAGGGGCAGATGGCGTCACGCCGCCACTCGCGCGGCAGTCGCCGCCACCAAGCTCGCGATTGGAGCACGCAATCTTCCCAAGGTCGTGTAATTTCGTAATAAAACAGGCTTTTTAGCAACTTGAAAAAGAATTTTGCCTCTAATAAACGATGGAATAAGAATGATGAGACTTCAGTAGGGCTATTTTTGCTTGAAACGTAGCGAAACGAACGCAAAACGAGGCTTGTACGTCAGAAATGATACTGCAGATTGCAATGCAGTGTCACTACATCGTGTCTACCGTCGGGTCGTTTTCGATTACTAGCATACCTAGGAGTTCAGACATCCACAGAGGTCGAAGAGACTTTATTCTATTGCATTATGGGAAATGTGGAGTCATGGATCGCGAACAATTATGGCGAGTCCGCTTTCTTCTGCTACGGCCCTGCTCCAACTGCATCTGCTGGGCACACGCCAGGATATCGAAAATAAGGTGGGCCGGACACGTGATGCGCTTCAACGACAACCGATGGACGAGAGCCGTTACCGACTGGATTCCTCGGGTCGTCAAGCGCTCTAAAGGAAGACCACTGATTCGCTGGTCCGATTTCTTCACGAAAGCGATAGAAGAAAGATATGATGCTCAGCGAATCCCTAGAGCGAGGAGGACCCACTGGGCTACTCTTGCACGCGGTAGGAAAAAATTGAAGTGTTGCTGGTACCCGCTCAAGTCACTCGACGATCAACGGGACGACAGATGATACAGGTGACAGGTGATGGGCAATGATTTTTTATTTTATCCCCTTATATTAGTCCGTTGAGGATGCGCCACGCATTCGTCGTCAATTTGTGGCCTCGCTTGAGGTGATTGAATGGAATGGAGTTTACAGTAACTCGTGGTGATCTACCCCCCAATCGGGTTAGTGCTGCTTTTGATCGCGGGCAAGTTTGCGTCCAGTTTACCGAACCCAGTATGATGGATGACTTGGTATGTATATAACCTATCTATCACTATTTGTTATCAATCCGCAATCATTTTATTTGACCGCCTATTGCGATTTTATGATGTTTCTATAAACCCAGTATGTGGAGTGCTATGCAAAAACATCTGCGTCAGCCGGGATTCGAACCCAGATCTCACTCTTTCCGGGAGCGTATGCTGACCGTTGCACCACCGATGCTCGTTTTACACAGCACTCTTTTTACGCTATAACGCGTTATCTGTCAACAGTGGCGCGGGCAGCCACCATCGGCATTGAACCCACCTTTGCTGACAGATATTGGGTATCAATAATCAGTCGGACTTCATTTATTTGACCACCTCTTGCGGTGGTATGTTCTTGTAATATACCCGATAATGTAGAGTGCTGTGCAAAAACATTTGCGACAGCCGGGATTCGAACCCAAATCTCACTCTTTCCGGGAGCGTATGCTTTCTTTCCGGGACTATTTGTTATGTTATGGGCGAATATGTTGTTAAGGATTGTTAAATAAATGATCGCCTGTGTTACGATATTACCATCTGAGATATGGTGTGATTTGCTGTATCGGTGATTCGAGGGCATCGAGTAAAAACAAAAAGATAACATCAAGGAAAACTACAGTGAAGTGTTGTGGTAACGGATCAAACCGACAACCTTCCTTCCTGAAGGACAGGTGCCGAGTGGCAGAGTGAAGTGCGCGACACCTAGAGTCTCAGAGGGGAGTGGGGGTTGAGCCGTCTCCATGGTGGGTGTAGGAGGCTTTGCCAGTCGGACACGCCTAGTTTGGCTCAGCGGAAGTCAACCAATTAGGGTTTTTTTTTTGGAGAAATCAGACCAGAGCAGAGCTAGGCCCTGTCCCACACACTCTCTGGCAGTCAACAAGCAACGCCCTATGCAACGCCACAGCCAGGCTATCCTCGAGATTGCAAGGAGATGTGCTCAACCAGTATTCTACGACGTTTAAGAAGAAGGCGATGAAACGAGCTGAATGCTAGAACTACTGAGATCTGCTCAGTGAGAAAAAGACCGTGTGAAGATGGATCAGAAGGGAAAGAAAAGAGGTAAATGCTCTTCTTCATCAACTACCTCGAAATGAATTTCATCTTCGGCTCAACTTATCCTCGATAGTATGGCGTGTCGAACAGCGTTGAAGCTGGCCGGAACATCAGATCTTTGCTCAAGTGAGAATGTCATTTACGAGATGAGGAAAACACCTGGCATCGACTTTCAGTCTGTGCGCTGTACAACGCTACGTGACCTTTCATTCTGCTAAGGTAGAGACCAGAAACCTGATGCATTTGCTAAGGCAGGGTTGTCGTAGAGTGAAAAGATGGGCACGGAGTTCGGTATTTAGTGTTTTACTCACAACACCGTCGATGGTCAAACGCTCCTTAAGCCGCTCGGATCTACCAACTTATTGTCCTACTAGAACTGAGTGATGAGCCTCAGGCGGGAATCAAACCCGCGTTCCATCCTATCCGGGAATACGTGCTCTACCACTAAACCACCGAAGCACATCTGACCGACCACTTATTCTTCAACATCTGTATGTCAGCTATCTGCCAACAACCTTTAACCTAAAGCAAAACCTTTGACAGGTTTCGTCGGTCGTGCGATTTCGTTTATCACAATGGCTGTCAGCTCAACTGAGTTTATGAAGCGAATTCGCATACCCGACCAAACCTGATAAAGGTTGATGGCTGATAGCTAACATAGAGATATTGAAGAATGAGTGGTGGCGCCAAGGTGCTTCGGTGGTGTAGTGGTAGAACAAGCGTCCCCAGATAGGATGGAACGCGGGTGCGATTCCCGCCTGAGACCGCGCTTTTGCTCACCAATTAGTTTTCTTAGGAATATAAGAATGATCACACTTCGAAAGGTGCAATGAGAATACTGGAAATTTCTACCAACTTAGACAAAACCAGTCCATTTTTCGTATACATCGTCTTGGAAGATTTAGTCGGAAACTAATCTGTCCATAAGCATTGCGGAGATCGCTCAACATTAGTTTGCATAGCTGGTGCTCGGTGTCACGAGCGAGGTCATCATGATAGTGAGTTGCCAACCGTCGATTTTCACAGCCATGTTTTTCCAATCCTTTGCTCTCAAGACTTATGGAGGATGGCAATTAATAACTCTAGCAAATAGTATACCCTTGTTGAGCTCCTCTTATTACGTCAATTGTAATACTGTCAAAAATTGTTTGGGCTGGAAAATCCTCAAACAGCTCATAAAAAATCCTTACATATTGATCAGGGAAGCCCTGTATGTTTAGAGTTTCTGGACTGCTTCTATTTCAACTGAATCAAAGACCGTAGACACAGGAAATTTCTTGCACTTGCACGAAACTTTGATGAGTTTTGCTATAATGTGACCATGATCGGAGTACTGAATTGTTTTCAAAATCCTTCTTGTCCGCACAGCTATTCTTCGCTCAGTGTTCTTCCAATTGTGATTAGGATGACTCTGAATTAAAAGTGATAGAAAGACAGCGAGTAGACTGGGCTATGGTTGCCCATGTCGTTAACGTCCTTCTTTTTGAACAATAACACGACACGCCTGATTTCCAGTGACTAAGGAACTTGTATTCAGGCAGGCGTGGGGAACCGAGCTGCAGTCCTGATGAAGACTGGCGAGAGATTCATTGGTGTTCGGTCTTATCCTGTCTGGACCGGGTATTGTACAACTTTTCTCCAACGAAAGAGCATGCTGGATTTCCGAAAAGGAAAACCATTAGAACCGCAAAAACATTCTCCTTCATTTGAACGACAGTAAGAGGAGACGGCTGATGGAGAAATCCAGGTAGCTTTTCCGAATGAGTTCCTATTTCCTTTATAGGAGGTGGAACGGCTCCGTCAAGGTATCGGACTCCAATCATCCTGGTTGGCCATGATTGTTGCACTATTTACTCCGAAAACTCCTTTTATCGCTTTTCTGCACTGTTTTGGAAGGTTGAAAGTCGGCTACCTGCAATTCGTGCCACAAGCACGAGGCACGCCACGTATCCATGCATCCAACTGGGTAGTAATCCTTTTATGGTAGAGATAGTGACAATCTTCGTTTCATACACTTGATCCTAGATTAACTGTACTGTGAAAAAAGCTTCCACTCAAGTGTGCGACCTTCCCAACCGACCTTTCACACGACCTACATGAAAAATAAATGCTGCTGTTGGTACGGTTAGAATAATGATCCATCTTGAGAACCTTCTTTGATAACGAAAATGACATTGAATCAAGAATAGGGGTATTAAGCTGACAATAATCGTACCAGCGAGTGAAAACAGCTAACTTAGAACATGGAAAGCTATGGGCACGCCACCAGGAGGGATAATTCTTACTCGGCAACAAGTAGAGGCACGATACCTGGTGCTTGATCGCCTAAAACCATATGGTGACCACTCTTTTAACCAAATCTTAGTAGCTAAAAGAATATCAATATTTTTCCATAAAACTTGTGGATTTGTGTACTTTCTTTGCTTCTTGAGCACAAACACATGGAAAAGAACTCCTACACGGCAATGCTAAAGAAGATATAAGTGGTAGCCGCTTGAATGACTCCATGGTAAGGTGAGTGAAAAGTTGAGATATGTTGTTTCAGTTCTTTCTAATGAGGAGGGGACATAAAAAACCGACCTCATTCGCCGGAGAGAAACTTTTCATAGGAGTGTTAGTGACCACAAAGCTGAGACTTAAGGCTACAGTTCGACGTCGCTGGTTCTTCAAAACACCTCTATAACTTGTAGCATTCAGATCACAAGTCATGTTTCACACTCGCCTTTCGCCTTCATTTCTATCGTGCGTATGATTCGCTGGAAGCTGAAAAGCATATCGTTGTGCAGAAAAATTTCCGTAGTATCTTACGCAATTGTTCTATCTGGAGGTTTTTTCAAAGCGAAGGAAAAATTCTTAACTGAATGTCAAAGTATGCCGTCTCGCCTCGCTCCGTCCCTGGCACGGCGCTCGCCTAGTCGAATAACCTGCAAGAATGTAAAACTCGATCTTATTTTTCCTGCCGCACTGAATTTCCAGAATGTACAGCATACTGATAAAAAAGAAAACATCACGTTATCAGATGATTAATAATAGTCCAAAGAAAGAGCCCAGTTCGCTGAGGTTTAAAGCACAAATCAAAAGACCATGAAAGATCTAGAAAATTAAAGGAGCTTTTCATAAAGCAAACATATTTTTGAGCACTATGAAGCTCCTGCTACAGTTTGAGTAGTAGAACTCTGAAGCAGGGGGTTTGTCCAGCAAAATATAAGCGAGATAAGAGATGAAAACACCCAATTTTATGAAAGACAATTTTATTTTGAATGTTATAGCGTTATAGAAGTGTGCTTCTTAAATCCGACGTTAAGCTATAGCCTTGAGCTATGAATAGTTCTTCATCTGCAAATGAAATCGGTTTTTCATTTGTTTCCTCCTATTCAGGAAGAAGAAAGGAAAAATATGCACGTTTTCTTTTCTTGAAACGGTTACACAATCATGATATGACAAGATGTTTTGAGATTTTTATGAGATCTGATTTGGCACTTATACAGTACTGAAGGGACCGCTTTCGCCTTTGCAGTCTCCACGTGCCACGTCAGACGTCATAAAAGGCTCAAAACATGTTTTCATGTTATCAGGCTGTTCTTGTTTTTGAAGCGAGACGAAAAAACAAACTGAAGGATAGCAGTAATGGGGAGCAGAAAAAAAAGCCACTATGAAGACGAATCATATAAAGTGCTAAACAGTACAGATACAACTGAATACTGATATCGCATATACGCATCTGAGGAGCAAGTACTGACAGGAACGAAAACGAGCACCATATTGAAATAATTTACCGTACTAAAACGCATAACGTCTATCAAACTTCGCATGCGGATGTGAATTTGAACTGCTTGAATTTAAATTTCAAAAATACGCTAATTAACTGTTCGTTCATGAAAGAACGCAAGCATAATTATTGAGCGTCTTGACACTAGTGGAGAGTTGTGGTAGCATATATTTTTTGAACCTAATCCTAAGCTTGAGCGAGCTCTCCTAAACTCTTATCCAAACAATCAATTCATAAAATACTTCAGAAATTCGTGGGATTACAATCTCCACAGAGGCCGACATCTTCATGTGCAAGCTGCACCAGCGAAACGTGACAGTTGACTTGGTTGTACAGAAGACTATGAGAGTGATTTCGTAATACGCCGGATAAGGAGAATAGTATGACGAAATACCTATGTAGAGGGCACTAGGGACATATGATGATACGGGATAGGGATGAGTATAGATCAAGACAGGGAATTACGATACTCACTAAATCTTCCGTTTCGAGTTGTTTCTTAAGACCACAGCTCAAATTTCAATATGCCTGGTAATCAGTTTTTGAGCCATGCATGTCAGTGGTCTATCAAAGGGGGCTGACTTATAGAGCCCACTCTTACTGAATCGTTTAGACCATCGTCGTAAATAGTCAATAAGTGAAGTTAGTAATAGTGAGTAATGATAATGACATCGATAATAGTGAATAGTTAGTAGAAATTTAAATAACAATGTTTAGTAACCTGAACATTTCGAAGGAATAGAAAGAAAATTATTGTGAGTTATACAGAAACTGACCTGTACGAACGGTTTCTATCTCACATAGTCCTGGAGAATGTTTTGGCCATCTTTTCAAGATTTGGTAACAAAATCATCCGTGCCAACGGTTTGGCAGACATGCGTGTTTCGGCGGTCTCGCCTTCATCAGTCCGTCTCGCTTTCTCGGCTACTCGCCCCTTATCGCAGAGAACAAGCATCGAACAGTGGTGAACTCTCGCCAAGTGAAAAATGGCAATTGAAAACATTCTTAGAGACTATTTATGAATGCTTTAGAGAGGTTTGATATAAACAGTCGATTGAAGAAGATCCTACTGTGTGTGGGCAATTTAATAATGGCTCATGAAGAGCCTTTTGAGGGATTGTTTTATACGAGAAGGTTGATAATTTCCAATTTCCTTGATATAGTCAAATTGATTTTGTACTGTTTTGTACCTGAGGTCGCCATGAATGAATTACGAAACTGTTTGTCCTGTGCAACGTAGACAGCGTTACAGTATGACTGTTCATAGAGACCTTGCAACACAGTGAATGAAACGTTTATCAAACTAAAGGTCTCAAAAAAAAACTGAAGAGTTAATTGAAACGTGTAGCAGCAAGTGGCCTAACATATGTTGCAGGATGCTTCAAACCTGAGCACCGTGGTCAACTGGTTATAATGCTCGCCGCGGTGTGCGAGGAGTTGAATTCCACCTCCCAACACCCTTCGGCCACTCAACAATGAACGTTCTATGGCTATCATCGAGATTGCAAGCAGACGCCCTCATTCAGAGTTCCACGACATTCAAGAAGAAGACGAAGAAAGCGACTGAATGCTAGAACTATGAGAATCCGCACCAGCGAAGAAGAACTCTGTGAAGACGAAAAATAACGGGTCAGAAGTGCTTCACACCTTGTGCGCTTATCAAGTCCTAGTATTAATAACAGACATAAGTATTGTGCCGTGAAAACAACATCTCCTACAGGTCGATCCTAGTGAACGTCGTGCGAGCGACCGGCGCTACGCCGCTTTCTACCAACGGCTGTCCCCAAAGAGTTAAATGAAGTGAGGAGGGATAAAATCTCTAATAAGCCGATAAGTTGAGGGGGGCGAACGGAGTCATTGTTGTTGAAGAAGAGTTACCGACTGGTAGAATAGACTATAGAATTTTTAGAGTCTTTGCAAAGGAAATTTGATCTTATAAAGCTGCTCTCATTGGTGCTGCAATGACTGCGAAAAAACACATAATGTAAAACGCTATATATTCAAGCTAGCAGGTTTTTTTTTTCGCTTATCCGAGGACGAATGAAAAAGCGGCCCCTTTCGCTGAACAAAGATTTTTCATTGCACTTTTTGTAATCGTTGAGAAGCTTCGATCTCCACCTACTGTGCTACGCAGCCGTTCTTTGATAGAAACCTTTTGAAAAACTGTATCAGAAAGGAAACATTTGTGTTTCACACACGCATACCTCTAGCAGGACAAAGCTCTTTCCTCAAATTGTAAACAAACATTCGATTGTGTGAGCTTCCACAATTCTGACGCTGTACTCATGAAGATCAGCGGCTTGATGGTCTAATTTGCTCACGAAAAGCGTAGAAGGAGGATGTGGAGTTCAACAAAACGTACAAAGAGACGAACTAGCTGGGCTACTTGTAAACGCGACGGGAAGAACTGGAGTTTACTTCTGTCCGCTCGAGATACTCAACGATTAACGGGACCACGGTCGATACAGGTGATTGTCAATTTAGAGCTTCACCTTCTAGATGAAAGATGTGATGTGGTCACGCGGATGATTCTCAAGGAACGAAAGTTATGATTAATTCCAGTAACAAAGGATGAAGGATAAAGCTCTTGGCGCTGATCAGTCCCTGAAGGATGCGCCATGGAATCGTCCTCAATTTTTAACTTCGTCTGAGGTGATTGAATGCATATCCGGCCTTTATAATGACTCGCGGTTGCCTCCCGCTGCAACAGTCAGTGTTGCTTATCTTCTCAGACAAGTCTGAGAGCAGCCTGGTACGAATTTACCGACCCCGGAGGGATGGATGGTATGGTGAGACATGAGCGCGAGATCGAATCATTGACCTCGTGTTAATTTCAATACGTTAAAATAATTTAGTCCTAGGATGCTCTCTATCTATATGAGTTCTACTTGACTTGCAGTGATAGCAAATCAATGAGGTCCGGAGTGATCTAACCACTTTACACACAGTGTAAATTGTTCAGAGCCGATTCCCTTATACATAGGGGTTTGGTTGAACGGAAAGGTACATACCACTACTGATGAGGCTTCACATGAACAAGCTGAAACGTACGTCTAGCACTAGTGGTGTCATATTTCACCTTATCAATGGTTTGAAGTATGCTGCCAGGATATACAAGTTTCTTGAACTTAGCGGCTACGCGTGGTTTTGAGGGTTTTTACTGTTAGCTGAGAATTAATGCAAAAACATTTATGACTCCTCTGACATTTGGAATCACCAAAAAGACGTTGTTGTCGTTAAAGCAGAGAGGTGTTTGTAGTTTGTAGCAGAATGAGTAATGGCAAAACGGGCGCCAGTAGTGCAATGGGTTAAAGAACGTGCTCCCTGACAGAGTCAGATGCAGGTTCGAGTTTCGCCTGACCTAGAACTTTTGCACATCACCCTACATCAGTGAGTATATCTATAGCATTACGCCTCCACTAAAAGCTGTCAAATGGAAAGAGTTCTATCTGTAGCTTAATGAAAAAACGCTACAGGTAATCATGATCAAATAGATATGCCTGATGGGTACTATTCCGTTATAAGGGAGCAAATGAAAAACCGATGTCATTTGCTGGAGAGAAACTTTTCATAGGATTTTCAGTAACCAATAGGAAGCTGATATTTCAAGCTACAACCACCCGTGGCCGTTTCTCGAAAAAATTTTTTGACCTTACTACAAAAGGAGATTTCTTGCTTTGCAGACGCGCATATTTCTCGCCGGACAGAGCTCTTTCCTATCAAAGATTACTAATTGCCAAAAAAAAGAGCTCTGTCCGGCGAGAAATATGCGCGTCTGCGAAGCAGGAAATTTCCATTTTAGTAAGGTCAAAAAAGTCTTTTCGAGAAACGGCCGCGGATAGTTGTAGCCTGAAGTCTCAGCTTCCTAATGGTTACTAACATTCCTATGTAATGTTCTTCTACCGAATGAGATCGGTTATTTATGTCCCTTTAATACCACAAGGAACCCCTAATGAGATCCGGTTTTTTCAAGTTTTATCACAGTCGCTAAGTTCATAGTATATACTTGATACGCCGAAACACGAGAATATTATAATCGTATTTACTTAAACAGCTGTTGTTTCCGGATTCCGGCTTCATCTGAGGAGTCTTCAGGCTTTTTTTTGGTTCATCACGGAAATTACGAACTACTGAACAATGCCGAAGTTGATATTGGGGTTGGCAAGAAATTTTCCGAACTTTTTCGTTCTTGTTGGTCATTTCTCATGCTCAAGATTTCTCATGTTTTTTCCTGCTTTTTTCAGCAGCGTTACGATGTTTCAAATGTACGTAAATGAACTGGGTGATGAGCAAAAATCCGACCTGAGACAGGAGTTGAACCCGCGCTTCACCTATACCGGGGCGCATGCTACCACTACAAGTCCGAAGCCATCGCTTCCCCACCAGTCATTCTTCGGTATCTCTATCATAACTATTAGCCACCAACCTTTAATAGGTTTGGTCAGCTAAGCAATATCGCTGTGTAAATCCACTCAAGCTGACAGTCATTGTCATATTGATACTCAATATTTCTCACCTTCTTTTAACTGCTTTTACCCGCAGTGTTTTGATATTTCAAATGGCTGATAGCTGTGATAGAGACACTGAAGAATGAGTGGTGGTGAAACGGTGTCTCTGTGGTGCAGTGGTAGCACGCGCCACCGGTAAAGGTGAAATGCGGGTTCAACTCCGGCCTGAGATCGCATTTCTGCTTATCAACCAGTTCTCTTTAGTACATTTAAAACATCATAGTGTTGCGGAAAAAGCAGTAAAAAATATGAGAAATATTGGGTATTAATACCACAATGACTGTTATTTGACTGGATTTACAAAGCGATATTGCTCAACTGACCAAACCTATAAGAGGCGTTAGTGGCTGATAGCTATGATAGAGACACTGAAGAACGAGTGGTGGTGAAATGGTGCCTCTGTGGTGTCGTGGTAGCACGCGCCTCACGGTATGGATGAAACACGGGTTCAACTCCCATCCGAGGTCGAGTTTTTGCTCACTACTCAACTCCTTAGGTATTGTTCATACACTCACGTTTCTATTTTACTATCGCTTGGAGCAGCTTTTTGCAGTTATTTTGATATACGAAACTTATACATTAATTTTATGATGAGATTATCTGAAGAGCAAAAACGACTGTTCATGCTACACGAGTACCGCCGCGTTGGGTACCAGCTGCTGCTCTGCTCGCAACGATACTCGCGTAGCGCCAGCAATCGTTTTTGCTCTCGGGAGAGTTCCATCTTAGAACAAATTTATAAGTGTCATATATGAAAATAACTACAAGAAGCTGCTCTAAACGCTGGTAAAAACAAAAATTCAAATGCATGAAAAATAATCAACAGAAACGAAAACGTCCGGAAAATAACCTTCCAACTCAATAGATAGCCGACCGCGAAAATTCCTGAAAGATGTAGCAGCAAGACACTTTTAACCCATCATAGTTGCAGTTTCTGGAAGTGCTCCATGTTAGAAGGATTAAGGATAGAAAACCTCTTGACGTTTATCAATCGCTGAGGGATGCGCCATACATTCGCCTTCGATTTTTAGCCTCGTCTGAGGTGACTGAATGCATATCTAACCTTAAGAATGACTCGCAGTGGTCTCCCGCTGCATCGAGTCAGTGCTGCTTATCCCTCCAGACAACTCTGACACCAATTCGGTACCAATTTACCGACCCCCAGGGAAAAATGGCTTCGCGAGCCATAGGGCAGGGATTGAACCATCGACCACGTGAGCGTCGCAGGGCACCTCTAACCACTGCGATACACGCACCCCTCTTCGATCTTAGCTGAGCGATTTTGCGCTCTCTGCTATTTTTCTGCCCCAGTGAACGTCATATCCGACATTCGTCCATGAAATCTCACGTTACCATCCCATACCACGTTCTTCTGACGTTATTAGTTGCTCTACTCGTTTCGTTTGAACTAGCTACTTTCGTACATTCTTAGAGTGCCTTCCTATGCAAATTTCTTGTGGGGTCGATGGCCGAGTGGCTAGCGATGCTCGGTACGGCTCAACGTGGGGTGATCATTCTCCTTCAGCACTCTGCGGCAATCAATAACGAACGGTCCACCCAGCCTGGCTATCCTCGAGATTTCAAAGAGACCTGCTCTACTAATCCCTCAAGCAAGCAACGACAGGAAGCGAATGCTAGGAGTGCTGGAACCATGAGACTCGCAAAGCAAAAAAAATCAAGAGGGGACAAACGAAAAACCGACCTCATTTGCTGGAGAGAAATTTTTCAAAGGAATGTTTGTGACCATTCGAAAGCTGAGACTTGAAGCTACAGGTCACGTCGTCGGTTTTCGGAAAATACCCTTTTATAACGCTGTAAAATTCGCACAAACTATATCTTAGACGCGCATATTTCTCCCCTGACAGGGCTCTTTCTTTGATCTACTTACAGTTGTTCGATAGCTCAATCGAATTCGATTCCACACCATGCTTATTTACTGAAAAGACCGTTTCTCCTAAACGCGACAGGTAAAATGAGTTGAATTCCCATCTGCAATCAAGGGGTCTTTGGCCAATTCACGTGCTCGCGCGTGAGGCGCCAACGTTCGAGGCGCAATGGCCATTGATTTTTCGGGCATATGAACGTGCAGAGATATGTCGCGTCAGCAGTTCACGTGACGCCTCACGCACACGCACGTGAATTGGCCAAATATCCCCCTTGCTCACACATGCGAATTCAATTTAATTTACCTGCTGCGTTTCAGAGAAGCGGTCTTTTCTGGATCAAAGCACAGCGTTGAATTCAAATTCGATTACGCTATCGAATGATTGCTAATAGTCTAGGGAAAGAGCTTTGTCCGGCGAAAAATATCCGCGTCTGAGACATAGTTTGTGTGGATTTTACAGCGTTATAAAAGGGTCTTCGAAAACCGGCGACGTGGAGCTGTCGCCTGAAGTCATAACTTTCGTATGGTTACTAACACTCCTAGGAAACTTCCTCTCCAGCGAATGAGATCGGTTTTTCATTTGTCCCCTTCTAATCAGAAAGAACAAAAAAAAAACTGTGATGCGGGTTGATAAAAGTTCGTTGTTGATGCCGAACTAAACGGTAATCCACTTTGTCTTCTCATATGCTCAGTTTCTGCTTCGAGCAAACTAAGAATCTGACAGTGATGGTCGCTTTCTCGCGATCGATGTGATCTACCCAATTTTCGTATATATTGGTTATTTAGGTGATTGGATTTCACACGACAGCTGGTTCAATCCAAAATCGAAGTCGCATTGGAGAGGTGCAACGTGAGCATATGTGTCAAATCTGTGGCGTTGGTTAGTTATATTCTTCGGAAGTGGTCATTTTTGCCTTTCGTAGACCGTGGACCCACGATCCCTGCGTCTCTAACCTTCAACGCGTCGCGTTCTAACCGTGGTGTTCCAATGGCGCCTGCCATTACCGGATGCAGTACAGTGGGAGTTAAACGCCACTGTTAGACGCAACGCATTGAAGGTTAGAGAGTCAGGTACCGTGGATCAACGGTTCCGTAAGAGTTAGGCTTCTGTTGGAGTTCAGGTGTGAACTCTAAAATTCCTTAGTTCACTTATTTCTTGATGATGAAGACATTAGTTTTGAATTTTGGCGGTCGATTAATGTAGACATAGTAAACGAGATGGGCGCGTGAGTGCAGTGATTAGAGTGCCCTGCGACGCGCTGGTCGTTGTTTCGATCTCGCCCGCCCAGGGCTTATCAAGACGTTTATTCCTCAGTCGTCGACGAATCGGTATCAGACTTGTCCGCGAGGTTAGCAGCACTAACTTGATACCTCGGTAAGCCACTTTGAATCATTGTAAAGGCCAGATATGCATCCAGTCACCCCGAGCGATGCTACGGATGGAGTTGAATTCATGGCGCACCCCCAGGGATTAATCAACCCCGAGAGCTTTATGCTTTTTTGTATCAAGCGAGAATCTCTGGAAATTATTTAGCTATGTTGACACAGCAAGAAAATTTCTTCAAATGTCAGTGTATCTTTTTTTTCCACTGGATTTTCTGAAGCTATCGGCGTTGATCAATCCATGGGGAAGCGCCATGCTTTCGTCTTCAGTTTTAAGCTTTGTTTGAGGTGATTGAATGCATATTTGGCCTTTACAACGACTCCTGGCGACCTACCAATGTATCAAGCCAATGCTGCTTATCCTCCCAGACAAGTCTGGCACTAATGCACCTACCCCGGAAGGATGGAGAGCTCGGTGAGCTTGAACGCGAGATCGAACCATCGAATGATCGATCGTGTGTGTTGCAGAGAACCTCTAACCATTGTTTCGCAAACGTTCTATCTTTTGTCATCTCGAAAGTATATGTAAGTTACTTTCATTATTATTTGAGCCAACTTGTTATGTGGTCTGGTAAGGGCTCTTGTACAGCCCGATACGTGTACGTGCACGTGTATCCCTACAACCTCCCAAAGCTATTCGGCAACCAATAACGAATGCCCTACGAAACTCCCCAGTCTGGGTATCCTCTAGATTGCTAGAAAACGTCCTTGGCTAGAGTTCTACGACGTTTGTGAAGATGATGAAAGCGAGAAGGCGAATCGAATGCTAGAAGTACTGGGATGAGCACAGTAGGAAGAAAACTGTGATGCGGATAAAATAAAGAAAGGAGAAGAATTTTAGTGTTGAATTTTACTTATCTAAATTTGTTTTCTTTTGGCTAGTGGTTAAGAGAGAGGCAAAGGTTTTGTGCTTGGCAGTTTTTGTGGACTTTTATTATGTATTGATAATCATTTGGGTTTTCAGATTGGTTTCTATGCTGAGTTCGAGGATATGGTTCTTACGATTTCCACGAAGATTTCCACTATTGAGACAACATAATAATTCAAGTAAGTCTGATTACTTCATTCGTACAAACCGCTTCTTATTCTTGTTTCTTGAGTTTAGATAACAGTTTTTTGAGTCTTCTTTGTTATACGGGAATGAAAAATGAAATGCAATGAGAAAACAACCCCTTTTGTTGGATAAGAATTTTTCGTAGAATTGTTGGTAATCGAAAGCCCATATTTCTGACCATTGCGCTACGTGGTCCTTTTTTAAGAAGACCTTTTTATAACGATTTAGCAGAACGAAAACATTTGTGTTCCACATACGCATAGTATCGAAGGACAGAACCTTTTTCTAAAATTGTTAATAATCATTCGATATCGCAAGTGTCGACGATTTCAATGCTGTGTTTATATGGCTAAGAGAATTGACGTGGTGAGCAAAAAACACGACCTCAGGCGGGAATCGAACCCGCGTTTCCTCCTATCCGGGGACGCGTGCTCTAACATTAATTACCGAGCACATTTGCCCGACCATGTGCTTATTTTTGTGCTGTGCGCTGCTGTGCTTATTCTTCAAAAAGACCGTTTCACTGTAGTGTGGTAGGGAAAATAAAGTGAGTTTCACATGCGCCGCGCATTTGTTTGTCGGTTAGTATGTAGGCTGGGTGTCTGCTGATCGTGGATTTGATACGGCGTTTGGCGACCGACCTCGTTGGCGCTACTCACACTTGGAGTGCAGTTTTTGTCATTTAGTTGGGTTTTTTTTCCTCAGTTCAAGAAAATTTCAGAGAAAACGAATAGTTTTTGGTACTAGGAGATTTCCTCTACACGTTCATTGCACAGTCGTCGTTCACCGCCGGTGCAAAACATAATTTTATTTTGAATGCTACGTTATAAAAGGGTCTTTTTCCTAAAGGA